GTTATGCAGGGGAGGTTATTGGAATCTGGAAGCCCTCTTTAACAAGAGGGCCCCCAGATTACAGCCTTCCCCCATGTGAATAAGTATGGGGTACATAGTCGCCAAAGAAGTGGTTCTTGACAAATCCTTAAATCACCCGGGGGGGGGGTCACCCAGTGACATCACCAAGTGGGCCCGCCCCCATATCTAGCTACTATTGAGTCATTGTGTCATTTCCCAAATGACAGGTGGAGTCACCTGGTATTTCGATAAGCCCCACGCCCGCTGACATATACAACCACAGAGCAAGGGTTATGGGAAAGAGGCCCTTATCCCTATCAACATGGGAACAAGGTGCTTTGGGGGGGGGAACCCCTCCCCCCCACACACACACATACACACTTTCCTGGCCTGATTGCTTGGATAAGGGTCTGGTATGGTTTTTTTTGGGGGGGGGTGGGCACACATCTTTTTTTAATTTTGGTAGGGGATTCCCCTCAAAATCCATACCAGACCCGAAGGACCTGGTAAGGATTGGAGGGAACCCCTACTCTGTTACTTAAAAAATAATTATGCTATATATTTTATAGAAAAACCCATCACATTTTATAGAAACCCATCACATGATTAAAAACTCTCAGGCATGCAATACCTGGCTCAGGCATCTCATACCTGAAAAAACAGAATATTTACTATTCCTGCTGACCGCTGCTTCGATTCTGAGAGATTGGGAGATTCTGGGAGTATCGATCTCCTTGGTTCCTCACACCTCTCAATAGTTCCTTTTGCTGAGCTTCAGGTTACTGCTGAAGGCAATGGAGACATGGAGGCTGGCAGGAGGAAACAGAGATGAGTTGGCAAACTCATTCAAAACACTGCAATCCCTGTGTGGCTGATATTGCTTCTCAGCCATTGTTGGGGTGACCCTGTCTCCACAGGGTCACTTTTAGCCAATAGCTCACCTGTAAAAAAAAACATGAACAAATGTACCTTTTTTGTGGCCCACATATGAAAAGTTGCCACTACTCAGCTCCTCAGCTGCTGCCAGTATACAGCCTCTGATTGAGTCAACTGCTTGCTTCCCCAACTTACCACTGTTTCTCCTACAGGGTGACAGGGTCATGTTAAAAAAGCAGATAGTGGTATGGAGTTTCGATTTCCTCTAGTGGCTAATCTACAATTATTTATCAATGATTTACCATTGATTCCATTCATTCACAGCAATAGGAATTTGCTGTAAAGGGATAAGTAAGCTGCCTGGGTTTGTTTCATAAACAATAATGCAATTTGTTGTTGAGGATTCCGAACTTTGTGCCAAACCCAATTGATGTCAATGGGGGGGAGGGGGGAGGCAAACCTAATATTCCATTCTGGCAATTTATAGGATAATAATTAAGGTATTGTCAAGCAAAGGGAATGGGAAACTTGGCACTGTCATGGGACGCATGTACCCATACCAAAATTAAGAAAATAAAAATTAGGCTTGCCCTAACAGCTTCAACACACACTGACAGAATGGCTGCTGTTAGCCCACTGGTTTTTGGAGAGACTGCTGGGTTATCAATTCATTCAAATTATTGGCTTTTTCAGCTTGTATAACCAGGAGCAAAGGCTATGTGCTGCATTATAAGTTGTTCCTTATTTTGGTGGAGAAACATCAAGGTTTTTGCAAATAAGGACCTCAGTGTAAATTCAACATGCTGCAAATGAGGATTCATTTCTAGACCAGCCTTTCTCTCCATTTTTATCCCCGAGGGGCATTTAAAAAAAAATGTAGGTCTAGGGGAACCCTTAATAAAACCATTTCATTGGGGGGTCAATGGTCAATGAGAAAAATGTCCCCTACATTGGTGGTGGTCAGTTAGAAAGGTCATTGGTGTTATGCTGTTGGCTGTGCCAAGTGAAGTTGGCCCTGGAATAATGTGTAGCACTACCCCCCTAGGATGTTGCTGAGTCCCCCTAAAGCTCTGCACAGCCAGGCAACATGCATTTGTCCCAAACTTTGCATTCAGGGCCAGTAAACAGTCTTTATGCTTGGTCTTGCAATTTTATTAGGGGTTAAGAACTTGGATGAGGTCTAGGTGTATACAGGATGCCCAAGGGAACTGTAAACCTGAGGACAACTTTTGAGCAACTATGTACAAAAAATTCAGATAGAAACAGTCTCCCCATTAAGAGCATTAAAAGCTCTTTGGTGTACCTGCTCATACCCCAGATTAATCCTCCTCTTCACCCAGCTGCCTGAGGGTATCCCTGGGCAAGGGGACCCAAGACCTGTAGATTTAGAACAGTCCCAGATGAAGACTAGTTGGGTATTGCACCTGTCCGCCCTCTCCACAGACTCTGTGATATTTGAGGGTTGCCCTGATCACCATGCCCAGCCTCTTTCCAGGGGATTGGCCAGGGTCCCTCAAACATGCAGATTTGGACCTCCTTCCCTCTTCCACCCCTCTTCCAGAAAGCTCTCAAGTTTCTGAAGAAGTGGGAGGGCCCCAGAAGCTCTGACCTGTTAGAGTTTCTCAGCCTTTCCTGAGTTAACCTCACTCCCCAGGCTAGTTAACAATGATTGTTCTATGGTATTTCCCTTCACTAAAGGTTTGTGTTACAAACCTTTGGAGGAACCATAGGGTTCCACTGGAAGCCTGGTTGAGAATGGCTGCAATAGAGATTTACTTTGAGCCAATGGCATTTTAAAAATCCCTAAAAAAGTTTGTCAACCATAGTTTACAACTCTAACTCCAAACGTTGTGTGCAATTAATTGCAGATGATATTTTCTAGGCAGCTTCAAACTACAAACAGAACATTCCTGTTAACAAAGGCCATTGTGCAGTTAAATGCTTGTCATTGAATACCCATGTGTATTGAGTTCCACAATCTTTATATAGTTTTATGGTTTTATTGTGTCTAGTGTTGACAGTCAGACAAATAATGTATCGCATACCAATAAACAATAATGACATATAAAATTTGTTCTTTAATTAGGAATAAAATTATGCATATTTGTGGTTAAAAAAATATATTAAATCGCTATTTAGTGTTAAGCTTTACTTTAATTAAAAAAGTATTAGAACATTTAATAAGGGATTGACTGTCATCCTTCCCTTGTTTTCTTGAATAAAATATTGCTGGCCTAAAAAATAAATAAGGCCTAAAAACTCCCTTAATCTAAATTTACATAGTTACATAGTTAGTCTGGCTGAAAAAAGACAAAAGTCCATCCAGTTCAACCATTTAAAAAAAAAGCTATAATCCTATACCCACAGTTGATCCAGAGGAAGGCAAAAAACCCAGCAAAGCATGATCCAATTTGCTCCTGCAGAGGACAAAATTCCTTCCTGATCCCCCGAGAGGCAATCGGATATTCCCTGGATCAACTTTACCTATAAATGTTAGTATCCAGTTATATTCTGTGTATCCAAAAGAATCCAGTAATTTTTTGAAGTAATCCACTGAACTGGACAGAACCAAGTCTTGAGGGAGTCTATTCCACAATTTCTGCTGCTAAACTAGACTGCACTAAAACTTCCCACCCAGGTCTCTACTTTACCTTTTGTACCACCGCCCCCTCCTTTTAGATTGTAAGCTCCACAAGCAGGGCCCTCCAATTCCTTCTGTATCGAACTATATTGTGATTGTACTGCCCCCTTCCTATTGTAAAGCACTGCATTAACTGTTGGCGCTAAAGAAATCCTGTATAATAATAATAGTAACACTACACTGTTTATTCCACTGTCGGCAGAAGTCCTTTTATGGGCCCACATTGGACCCATATGGGCCCAATAGGTCTTCTTCTAGTGTGGCCCCATACAAGTCTATGAGGGCTGGATTCATAGAAACTGCCAGTGCTAAAAAGGACTTCTGTTAAAAGAAGAGGTATGCAATGAGACAGGAATCTGCTACAGAGGTAAGTAGCTGGGGTTATAGTACTATTATGGCTCCATTCAGAAGGAGGTTAGAGTGTTGTAAGGTGAATTTGTAGAATTTAGAGTATATAAAGAGCTATACTGTATACTGCATATGGTGGAAGGAATTCCTATGGCTTATTGTCTGACTGTCCAAGGTGGAAACAGCTGTAGAGAATTTTCTTCAAAAGAAACCTAAGTAGTTAGCTGACACTAGAGAATGTACACAGCTGATTATTTTAATGCATGTAACATCAAAGCGATCATCAGATCAGCCAATCAGAAACCCCTCCAGTATTAGTGACTGCAGTAACCTGTATATAAAAGAGGAAGATGAAACAGACAAGATGATGAAAAGAATGGCCTTGACCCTAGGGCAGTGGTTTTCAAACTCAGTCCTCAAGTACCCCAAACAGGTCATGTTTTCAGTGTTTCCTTCACCTTGCACAGGTGTATTAAATGGATTTCAATCAATCAATGTCAAAGCGATGGTATCTAGGTGGAATTCCGAAAAACATGATCTGTTAAAGGTAGTTGAGGACTGAGCTTGGTAACCACTGGCCTAAGATATAAAGTATAAAAAATAGGGGGGGAACCTACATGCTGACGTCACGCCGCCTTGTCCATACGATGGTCTGTCGGCCATCTTTGTAAGTGGTTTTTCCTTCTGTTTTTACTCCACTGGGATGCTTTTACTATTTCCATAAAAATACTGCACCATTAGTGGTTTCTCTCTCTGGGCTCTTTTGTGCACTGTTCCCTTCAAGGTGTGGCTAATTTTATGCCAAAACTTGAGCGTTCTGTTGGAGGTATCTCCCATTTTTGGTGCATGACAGCTTCACATTTCATCTATCTGTGTCCGACGGTGGAATAGGCTGACCTACCTGTTCTAGAGGAGTTTGTAACTATTATTTTCTATGCGCATTTTATACGCACTTCTGGTGAGTGCATTATAAGGAAGAATTTGTCACGGATTCACCTATCACCTGATGTCATGATCTTCTTTTGGACTTTTTTTACACCATTGAATATTGGTATTTGATTTTGTTTGGATTTGCTATATTTGTTCGGACTGCAGACATAGTACAGGAGATGACCAGAAACTGCAGACATAGTACAGGAGATGACCAGAGACTACGGACATAGTACAGGAGATGACCGGAGACTACGGACATAGTACATGAGATGACCAGAGACTGCAGACATAGTACAGGAGATGACCAGAGCAGGGGCGGACTGACAACTCATGGGGCCCCTGGGCAATAGGGGATCATGGGGCCCCTGTGTTCTTGCCCAAACTCAAAAAAGCCTATGAAAAAGGTACCAGGGGCATCTCATGGGGCCCCCTACTGACCCCGGGCCCTCAGGCAGTGCCCGAGTTTCCAAATGGTCAGTCCGCCCCTGGACCAGAGACTACGGACATAGTACAGATGACCAGAGACTGCAGACATAGTACAGATGACCAGAGACTGCAGACATAGTACAGGAGATGACCAGAGACTACGGACATAGTACAGGAGATGACCAGAGACTACGGACATAGTACAGGTGATGACTAGATACTGCGGACATAGTACAGATGACCAGAGACTGCAGACATAGTACAGGAGATGACCAGAGACTGCGGACATACTACAGGAGATAACCAGAGACTGCGGACACAGTACAGAAGATGACCAGAGACTGCGGACATAGTACAGGAGATGACTAGAGACTGCGGACACAGTACAGGAGATGACCAGAGACTGCGGACACAGTACAGGAGATGACCAGAGACTGCAGACATAGTACAGGAGATGACCAGAGACTGCGGACACAGTACAGGAGATGACCAGAGACTGCGGACACAGTACAGGAGATGGCCAGAGACTGCGGACACAGTACAGGAGATGACCAGAGACTGCGGACATAGTACAGGGATGACCAGAGACTGCGGACATAGTACAGGGATGACCAGAGACTGCGGACACAGTACAGGAGATGACCAGAGACTGCGGACACAGTACAGGAGATGACCAGAGACTGCGGACACAGTACAGGAGATGACCAGAAACAGCTGACCTTTGGGGAGCGGGGGGGGGGGTTTGACTGGTACCTGTTCTCACTTTCGCGGAGTTGTCCTCCCCATAGTCTTGTGGGACATGTGACAGGTCCCAAAAGACTTCAGGTGGCCATTCACAAAGTACAACGCTTCTTGCACATGCGCAGTGGGCACCCGGCTGTGAAGCCACAAGCTGTCACAGCTGGGCGCCCACAATGAAGATTCCAGCGCCGGGGAGAGAAGACAGCCGGTGAAAGCAGGACACCGCTGGACCGAGGAGCAGATTCTTCTGCACAGTAGAGCCGAGTGGCCCGGTATTCTAAAACGGTGGTGGTGGGAATCCAGGTCTAGCTGCTCCATAAGACGCACAGACATTTCCCCCCATTTTTTGGGGAGAAAAAAGTGCGTCATATGGATCGAAAAATACAGTAAATAATTGGTGTTCTGCAGCTGCCTTGACAAGTGACATTGGTTCCAGAACTATATAGGTACCATCAAATGTAAGGTCAATCAACCAGAACTCAAGGAGCCCCTAGCAACCTCTAAAGTAGCCCTAGAGATTAACAGAACCCTAGTTAATGACTGTTCTATGGTATTCACCTTCACTACATGTTTGTGTTACATGTAAGATTTAACCACAAGTATAAAATTATAAATGTACCCTCACCGAACCTCTAATGTCACGTGGCTGCCCAATCAACCATTGCATTCAGATCAGCTTGCAATGATATTTTGCATGAACTGTATTCTAGTACACAACTTTGTGCCATCTGCAAACACAAATGGCACTTTTAGGCATTTAAAAATGCCAAGCCTTGGGGTACAGAACAAACAACCTTAGGCCATTCAAAGTTTAAATAATTTATTACAAAGCTCCAAGTGGAGTAATTAAGCCAGTATTCTATTCATTTACAAATTGAAGTTTCTAAACCAATAGACCTTAATTTACACATTAGCCATCTGTGAGCAACCCTGTCAAACGTTATAACCAAGTCCAAATATATTACATCCACCCTTCTGTCTAGTTATCTGCTTACTATCTCATCATAAAAAAAGAAAGCAGATTTGTTCGACAATATTTTTTTTCTTTCATAAATCCATACTGGCCATTGCAAATCATAATTTCTCCTATGATACTATATATTCCTGTAGGTATTTCTTACCAATTCCTCTAAAATGTTTCCTAGTTACTACAACAGAAGTGGAGCTTATAGGTCTGTGGTTTGGGGTAAAAACACTAATCATTTTTCTAAATATAGGCACCATGTTTGCTTTAAACAGTGTATAACAATTAGGGGGGAAAGGGTTAAGATAATTGAACGCAACTCTTTGAAGACTCGTGGATGCCAGTCATGTAGTCCTCATTTCCATCATTTTTCAAAAATCACATTATACATACTTATTTTATGAGGTATTTTGATCTGTCTGGTGAAGTCACATGACTTTCCTCTGCAACAATGGTGGGTTATCTTTTCCCTATTAACTGAACTTATTACGTGTAATGCGGTTCGGCCATCCTTCAACCTCAAAGACTAGATTCTCACCTGTCTAATTCAGTGAAATATGTGTGAAAGGATGCATGTTAATGCACAATTTGTTGCATGTTAATTCGGTTTGCATTGAGGCAGTCTGTCCATTCAAATGAAGGCACTGCCAATGCACTGGACCCGACTTTCAATGTTTTTAGCAGTGCGGCTCAACACATGATAGAGCATCACCATGCGTTCTGCTGCAGTGCAACACAGTTGGCATTATGGTGCCATTCCCACAGAAGTGCTCCCCAGTGCACCAATGTGTAAATGATTGTTATCGCAATGCATAGATATGTACCTAGTGTGGCACTAGAATAGTGTAGGCACATCTATTGTGTATGAACCATGGTAACTGTGTGTCTGTGATTAAGGTCAGGTTGCTGCAGGTCAAGCTGGATGGCTTAACAGGTTGAGACTCTATCGCCTCCACCTGGTTCTGGCAGACCATGGGAACCTTCCAGAAGCCTGTAGGTGGAAGAGGTGGAGACCTAATCTGCATTGAACATTGGATAGTCAGACCAGCTGGGGAGTTGGGTGGGTGAAGATGGAGTGCTGAGGAGGCTGTCAGTGGCCTTGGAGGGGTCCCCTAGGTCTAGAGGGGGGCTGCCCTCCAGGCTGAGCTTGGGCTGGCTCAGGAGGATACATTCAGCAGTACAGCATGAACAGAATCAGGACTTGGGAGCAAGGAGGACAGAGTTAGTAAATCAACACACCTAGGGATTCACAAGGGGAGAGACTGCCACATGTAGCAAGCTTGCAAAGGACATCACTGTACTTAATCCTTTATCCTTGTCCTGGGAGATCTTCATAGCACCTAGGAGGGCTTGTAGTGTCTGCAGGCTGTGGAGCTAGGAGCAGTTCTACAGGAGAGACGAGACATCTCTAGTTTACAAGTCAAGCTGATTTTCAGAGAAGGGGCTGTAAGTTCTTCACCCATAAGGGGCTTTTGCTTCTGATCTGCAAAGACAGACAGCTTTCAAGGAAAAGAACAGTCCAGGATCTGATTCTGGAAATAGGATGGAAGTTGTCCCTGTGCATAGATTCAGTCAAGTTGGGCATCCCATAATCCCTATTACCCTACCTAAGTTTTTTTTTTTACCCTAATAAAATAACAAAAACCAAGCTCAAGGACTGTTCACTGACAGTGGATGAAAGGGTGGAAAATGTGTGTTGCCTGGCTCTGCAGAGTTTAGGGGTACCTAGAAACACAGCGGCCCACACAAGGGTAGCACTAGCTACACTAGCCTAATGGTGGAAAGAAATTATGGTGGGGGCAGCTCTGGAATGAAGGTTAGCATTGTAGTAAAAGATGATCTTTCAGGAGTCCAAGGCAGCGTATTTAAAAAAAAAAAAAAATCTGAAGCCCAGGTTTAATATTGTTGTCATATTTATTTGTGCATACATAGCTAAACAATGGCTTTGATTTTACTTTATCCTCATGTTCCCAATTTTAGAGGACCATCCAGAACAGGGGCGGACTGACAACTCATGGGGCCCCCGGGCAATAGAGGATTATGGGGCCCCTGTGTCTTTGCCCAAACGCAAAAAAGCCTATGAAAAATGTACCAGGGGCATCTCATGGGGCCCCTTACTGACCCCGGGCCCTTGGACAGTGCCCGAGTTTCCAAATGGTCAGTCCGCCCCTGATCCAGAATATATGTGGATGGGAGGTCTTTCAGAGTGGACAGTGAAGGACTAGCCATCAAAGAACATAGTGAGGTAGAAGGAGCTGCCATAGAAGCTACTGCAGACAGTGCTGGGAGAGCAGTTACAGAAGCTAGTGTAGACACTACTAAAATAACAAAGGTGTGTGGTGAGTCCTAATGTCCAACCCTGCAACCCCATGTAACCTTTAGAGACCCCAACAGTCATCATTTAAAGCATTAATTTGTAAACAGGCTATAGACAGTGATCTTTAGCAGTCAAATGTAGCATGTCCTCAGTTTTTACTTTCTCCTCTAGTCTGTCTTCAGTCTCCCATTACCCCTTGCATGTCTGCAGTCTGACAGTCCTCAATCATATACCATTTCAGTCTTTGCAGATGACACCAAGCTATGCAGTGGAATAACGTCCTTACAGGAGGTCTCCAACTTACAAACCAATCGCAACGCACAGTTTAATTGGGCAACTATGTGGCAATTGAGGTTTAATGTTCATAAATGTAAAGTTATGCACTTTAGGATCTGGGGTTCTGGTAGATCACAAGCTTAATAATGGCATGCAATGCCAAGCTGCAGTTTCCAAAGTGAGCAAAACATTCTTTTGTATTAAAAGAGGTATAGACTCCAGAGAGAGAGATATCATATTACCCCGGTACAAATCATGAGTAAGACCTCATCTGGAATATGCAGTTCAGTTTTGGGCACCAATTCACAAAAAGGGAATCAGGTAACTAAAGAGAGTGCAGAGAAGGGGGGGATACATGTATAAATGCATAGGTGGTGCATATGGTGAGCTTGGTGTAGAGTTATTCACTTTAAGGTCATCAGAGGAGGATACAAGGGCACTCTATGTCTGGAGGAAGAGATGTATTCTCCAAATACTGACTGGCTTCTTCACAGTAAGAGCTGTGAAAATGTAGAATAGACTCCCTCAAGAGCTGGTTCTGGCCCGCGCAGTGTCAGGAGTGTGTAGTGCTCCTGCTCCATCACAGCTGCTGGTCTCATTCCTGGTTTTTGTTGTGATACATTCTCCCTGTCTGTCTACCTGCAAGGTGATTGATGTGGTCAGTCTCTAGGTGAAAACCAAAACTGATTTGAGCCAGCCAAGCCTGCAGTCTCATTCTTGTGATATTGCATTTGTAACACATGCTCCAAGCTTCCTGTTTGTCTGCCGTGCCTGCTAGTTTGGATTCCCTCGTTGACCTCCTCAGATCAGATATTGACTACTCTCTGAACTCTGACTGCCTTTTGATTACAGATTTGACCCTGACTATTGTAAACCTTGCCTGCCTTGTACCTGGACTGTCATTGAACCACCCTGCCTGTCTGCCAACTGCAAGTACCTGTTTGCTGTGATCAGTTGGTACCTGCTCCGGCAAGGTGCCAGGCAATATAGCATTGTGCATAAGACCTGGGGGCACCTGAGTACCGGTAGGCCTACTTGCCTTATAGGAAGGGAACTGCTATAGTTCAAGAACACAAAAGCCAGCTATAGGGGTGATTTACTTAAGGTAAATGAACTGTGCAATTTGCAAAGTGCAAATGCACTGTGCAAGTGCATTTGCTCCAGAGCTTAGTGAATGAGATAAATATTCACTTTGAAAATAATACCCAATTAGGAAAATAAAAAAACAGAACTTTTGCTTGCACATGATTGGATGATGGAAGTCAGCAGAGTTTCCGCTCATTTACTAAGCTCAGGAGCAACTGCTCTTGCAGAGTTCAAATTCACTTTGCAAAGTGCACAGTCTATTTGTCTTTAGTAAATCAACCCCATAGTGTCTGACCACCTGTAACAGTATATTGTTTTTTTAAAAAGGCCTGAATTCTTTCCTAAATGCACAAAATATAAGTGGATACTATTTATAGGTAAGTATGATACAGGGTATATCTATTACCTCTTGGGGGATCAGGAAGGATTTTCTTCCCCTGCTGAAGCAAATTGGATCATGCAGTTGCACTCTACAAAGTGCAGTTCCCCAAAGGTTAGTAAATAAGGAGAAACTCTGCTGACGTCCATCATCCAATCATGTGCAATCATGATTTCTTTATTTTCCTTGCATGTGATTGGGTATCCCTTGCAAAGTGAAGCTTCACCTCATTTACTAAGCT